CGGAGCTCCGCCTGGTGGGCTTCCCGCAGCGCCTCCAGGCCGGCCTCGGCCTCGTCCTGGCGGGTGTTCAGGGCGTAGATCACCTGCGGGAAGAGCCGCAGAGCCAGTCAGTGTGTGCGCGCGCGGGCGAGGGGACCAGAGGAATCCTAGACGCAGGCAGGACCCCTAGAGTAGTACCTGGGAAGAGGGTGTGTGTGGAAGTGATTTATTAGAAATCGTGCCCAGCCCTAGAGTCGGGCTGCGGACTGAAGGGTCCCAGGTTTGATTCTGATCAAGGGCACATGCCAGGGTTGCAGGCTTAATCCACAGTAGGGGAGACAGCCAATCACAATCAATGATTCTCTCTCATCACTGCTGTTTCTATCTCTTTCTCCCTCTCCCTTCCTCTCCGAAATCAATATAAAAGAAATTGTGTCCAGGAGAAACCAGTAAGGGAGCAGGGAAGTGGGACAGGGTGGACGCAAGAAGAGGGTGATAATACAGAAAGGGTGTCCATGGCAGTGTTCCCTAGGGACTTCCGCAGTGCTGTGGGGATCAGCGGGGGGTTCAAAGCTCCAATTTGTTCAGAAAGAACACTCTGAGGAGCAAAAAGCACAGAACATAGAATTCAGCTATACATAGAAAGGATTCTACCCCAGATCAAGGAGGAATGCACCTCATACACCATAGTAGGTACTCATACACAGTAAAAACTCATACATAGTAGGTACTCATACATAGTTGGAACTCATACATTGTAGAAACTCATACATAGTAGGTACTCATTTCCCAGAAGGTACTCATACACAGTAGGTACTCATACATACTAGGCACTCATACACAGTCAGTACTCATACACCGTAGGTACTTATACACAATAGGTATGCATACACTACAGTAGGTACTCATACACAGAAGGTACTCATACACAGTAGGTAAGCCTGCCACATGAACATCAAACTCATGTGTTTATAAAAAATCCTATTGTTTATTAAAAATCTCCACTTGGGTACCTAACGTGCATCTCAAATTTAATCATGGATTTTTCCTTCAAAACCTGCTCTTCCTACAATATTCTCCATCTCACTTCATGGCAACTCACTTCTTCCAGTTGCTTAGCTCAAATTTTAGAGTGGACCAATAAGCACGTGAAAAGATGCTCAGCATCACTCATCCTTAGAACTACAGTGAGATACCACTTCACGTCCATTTGGATATTTATTGTAAAAATGTAATAAAATAAGCCTTGATGAGGATGTGGAGAGATTAGAACCCTGTGCAGTGCTGGTGGGAATGTGCAATGGTGCAGCTGCTGCGGAAGTGATATGATGATTCCTCATAAAATTAACCACAGGATTACCAATAACCCAGCACTTCCACTTCTGGAATTTCAGTTCCAAAACAACTGAAAGAAGGGACTAGATCTGTACACACAAGTTCACAGCATGATTCACATTAGCCAATAGGTGGGAACAACTCAAGTGTCCATCAACAGATGAATGGATAAACAAAAGGTGATATATACACACAATGGAATATTATTCAGCCTTTAAGAGAAAGAAATTCTGACACATGCCACTACACGGATGAAACTTGAAGACATTATGCTAAGTGAAATAAACCAGTTACAAATGGACAAATATCATATGATTCCACTTCTATGTCCCTACAGTAATACAATCCACAGAAACAGAAAGGAGGATGGTGGTTGCCAGGGTGTGCAGGGAGGAGGGAATGGGGAGTTCATGTTTAATGGGTACAGTTTCCCTTTAAAGATGAAAAAGTTCTAGAGATGGTGGTAATTGCATAACAATATGAATGTAACTAACGCCACAGAACTGTATGCTTAAAAATGGTACATTTTATGTAATTTATATTTTAGCGCAATAAAAAAATTGTCTAAAAATTTATTGAAGTCACCCTGTCTCTCACACCCGACATCCACTTCATCAGCCAATCCCAACTCTCTCCACTTCTCACTGTTCCACACTCCCCTTAATCTGGGCCATGAGCACCTCTCACCTGGACCACAATGGCCTCTTTTTTTTTTTTAATATATTTTTATTGTTTTTATTGATTTTTTACAGAGAGGAAGAGAGAGGAATAGAGAGTTAGAAACATTGATGAGAGAGAAACATCGATCAGCTGCCTCCTGCACACCCCCTAATTATTCAGCCTTTAAGAGAAAGAAATTCTGACACATGCCACTACACGGATGAAACTTGAAGACATTATGCTAAGTGAAATAAACCAGTTACAAACGGACAAATATCATATGATTCCATGTATATGTCCCTACAGCAATACAATTCACAGAAACAGAAAGGAGGATGGTGGTTGCCAGGGTCTGCAGGGAGGGGGGAATAGGGGGTTCATGTTTAATGGGTACAGTTTCCCTTTAAAGATGAAAAAGTTCTAGAGATGGTGGTAATTGCATAACAATATGACTGTAACTAACGCCACAGAACTGTATGCTTAAAAACGGTACATTTTACGTAATTTATATTTTAGCGCAATAAAAAAAATTGTCTAAAAATTTATTGAAGGCACCCTGTCTCTCACACCCGACATCCACTCCATCAGCCAATCCCAACTCTCTCCACTTCTCACTGTTCCACACTCCCCTTAATCTGGGCCATGAGCACCTCTCACCTGGACCACAATGGCCTCTTTTTTTTTTTTAATATATTTTTATTGTTTTTATTGATTTTTTACAGAGAGGAAAAGAGAGAAATAGAGTTAGAAACATCTATGAGAGAGAAACATCGATCAGCTGCCTCCTGCACACCCCCTACTGGGGATGTGCCTGCAACCAAGGCACATGCTCTTGACCGGACCCTTGAGTCCGCAGGCCGACGCTCTATCCACTGAGCCAAACCAGTCAGAGCCACAATGGCCTCTTAGTCCTGTTTCTATCTTGCTACCTAGAGTCTGCTAAAGTCAGTCACCTGTGTCCCGTCACTGCTCAAACCCTCCTGATGGCTGCCCAGTGCACTCAGGAACAGCCAGAGCCCTGGGCTGGGGTGTGGAAACGCCCGGGAAGTGCAAAGGTCACATAGTTGCTGTCCCTTCCTTTATGGAAATGGTTCGGAACCCGGCCCACACGAGGCTGGGCTCCTGCAAGCAAATGGGCTTGGAATGGATTTCTAGATGGAGTCCAAGATGCTAATTAAAATCTCACATCACCCATCAGAGAGCTGTTGCTAGGCGCCTGGCTGCACGAGGCATTGAGCTGTGAGGCATTAGCTTCTGAGTAATTGAAGCCCAACTGTCTCCCAAACCAATTTCGATGGAGATGTAGCTGAAAGGTGAGGGCTGTCTCTCCACAAGGCTCTTAATTAGAGCCCCTCCTCTTACCAGCCGAGGCGAACACTCACACAGACACAGGCCAGCCTGCCTTGCAGTGAGTTTCAGCAGCAGCAGCAGATGCGGGACCTGGAAAGGGACCGGCTTGTCTTTCTGATCTCGAACGACTTGTTTGCAGCTTTTGGAAGACAAAGACTAGCGACAGCTCCCTCGGTTCACCAATCTGATCAATAGATATGCATGTGTGTTAGTGATGCTTCTTCTGTGAATAAAACCAGTGCAGAGGAATCTTAGTGCCTCTCACAGAAAATATTTTAACAGGGAAGTAATCCAGGTGGGAGCCGCAAAATCCAGGAAGGCAGGCCGGCCTGTGTCTGAGTGAGTGTTCGCCTGGGCTAGTAAGAGCCTTGTGGTTGAACATCAACCTATGAACCCAGAGGTCACGGTTCGATTCCAGGTCAGGACACATGCTGGGGTTACCAGCTCGATCCTCAGTTGCGGGAGGGGGGGTCATGCAAGAATTCTCGGTCATCATTGATGTTTCTATTTCTCTCTCTCTGAAATCAATTTTAAAAAAATTGCGTGAACTCAAAAGCAGAAATAGCCACTCCTCAAGTTTACCAGGCTGGCCTCTGTGTTCCAGTCCCACCAGACAGACAATTAAACAATAATTGGTTTTGCCCCAACAGTTGGCCACTAAGTTCCTTTATTATTATTATTATGCTTGAAATTTGAGCACAGGGCTCAGCCCTCGCAGCCCCGGCTTTGTCCAGAAGGTCGTTCGGCTGTCCGGTCTAATGAGCATATTATGCTTTTATTATTATAGATTATTATTATTATGCCAGTTAATATCCCTTGTCATTTATTTTGGGATGTGCTAGGCCCAGGAGAACAAATGACGATGGAGCTCAGGGCTTCCAGCTCCTTCTATGGGCAGTCAGTGCAGGCAGGTCCTGCGGGTGGCAGGGGGTGGGGGGATGGGGGG